ATACATTCAAGTGTGGTGGTGGAGTAAAGAAAAGCATGTGTTTTTTATTAAGAAATTTTAGCCCTTTACCATTTCTGTAAGGAAACACCACCACAGATGATAACTGAGCAAAAGAAAGATCGTATTTTAAGTGAATTCTGATGCAATCAGTGATGATTTTTCATGCCTTTTCATCACTTTTATTAGTATTTTAAAGGAACAATGAAGAATACATAGCTATTAAACCCATGAAACCTTCCACAAAACTTTGGATGCAAAAGAGAAAGAAAAACAATCTAAACCACTCATTATAACTTCAACATTTGTCAAAAATATGATTTAAAAATAGGAAGGAGAAATTACGTGTTGATCTATATTTAGTATAATCAGGCTTTTGAATGAAGTTTTGAGGCCCATATTTTCATAATTGTGTGTGTGCAGTTGATTGGAATTTTATGGCAGGCAAGCTTTCCTTGAGGGAGGGAGATAGATTACTGAATCAATATTTGAGGGCTCTTTTGTTTTGCTTTGTTTTAATGTTATTGAAAAGTCTGGGTGGCAGCCATGATAGGTCCTTTACAGCTCACAGATTATTAAAAAATAAGAAATAATTAGGCATAGCTGACAATCAGTTGGTTGCACGTGGTCAGTACAGGAGAGCAGCAGTTTAAAAATTTGTCTCGTGTGCTTTACATCCATGGAAATACCATGTGAAGCTGTACTAACGATCGGGATAATTTACTTGAGAAGAGACTTCTGGAACAAGTTAGTTTGTATTAGAATTTCACACCTCCTTTCACTGCTACCTGTGAGGCATTTAGTGAAATGAAGAGGCAGAGGAAGAAGGATATTGTGCTTTCTGCTAAATAATAATAAATAACAAAGCAGAAAGTTTTTTCAATACTTAAAGATTTGAAAGCATACTTATCCTGTGCTAAAGACATCCCTAGTATCTCAATAGATTTGTGTAACTCTCAAGAATCTATTGGGGAAAAAAACCAAAGAGTACATCTATATATGTCACTACCTACTTCTATCCATGTATAGGTAAGGTTATTCCAGCAGGATACAGGTGACCCTTAGACCATTAGTACCTACATACCATATTTTCAGAATTCTGGGAAACACATTAAGAAGTTACACTTCTGGAAACAATACTCCTCTGTCAGATCTTGTAAAGCAATACAAACCAGAAAGATTCCGTAAACTTTGCAAGTTTCGTACAGCCATGTTTCTTGAAAAAGGCAATTCCCCTGTTGTCCTTGGCTCTGAGTAAACTTTTTGACTTCTTTTTTTGCCATGCCCATGGAATAAAATTAATCTCTCAACTTAATGAGATATTGTCAGTTCAAATAGTTGAGAGACCAGAATTTATTCTTTTTTATTTCTTCTAAATGCTTTACAGAACCAAACATTAATTAAAGTATATAGATACACATGTGTGTCCATACATACATACGTCTGTGGATGTAGTCCTAAAGGACGCAGCATTTGGTCTCCTAAACCATCAACTAAGTATGTTTTTTTAATATAAAATGAAATAACTTATTATTTGAAATAAAATTGACTTTAAAGATGCTGTTTTTCATTCTTCGTTGTTTTCAGTCCTCTGTGTTTCCTGAAGTGGAGTTGATGTCATCAGAAGAAAACATGAAAACCAGAAAACATCTAAACTGGACTTCATAAGTCTGAAGTACCCTAAATCAGTGGCGGTTTTAAGAAAAGTACCCTTATTACCTTGTTTCTCTATGCTCTTATACAAAATAATTTTGTGCCAGACTGAACTCTGGAGAATTGTAGAGTTGTAGAGTCATAATTTCTGCTTTATTCCCATGTTGACTTAGGCTATTCATAATAATACTAACACTATCTAGCTCTTTTCTGAATCCTTAATTGAGGGGTCTGAGAGATCTTTAAAAAAAAACAAAAGAAGAAAAAAGAAGAAGAAAAAAAAAAGGTAAGCATATGTTTTCCTGATTTTAAAGCTATGGAAGTGGAGACAAAATAGAGAAAAATGATTTTCTTGGTGTCACTCAGGAGGCCAGTGGCAGAAACAGGACAAAACCCAGATTCGTTGAGAACCAATATAACATGCTATCCATTTTCCAGAGACTAAAAAGCATTCTCCCCTATCATGGGATGATATCGCAAACACTCTTCCTCAGGCTGCTTGTCTACCAAGCATGCACAGGAATGAATTTTCTCTTGTTTATTATCACTCAATCTATTTTTTACCCTGGAACTAAACACAAGAGACCCATGCTAAATTTCACATCTCAGAATCAGACATTTTTACAGGAGCTGTGTTATCACCTTTTTTCTTTTTACAATGAGACAATTCTTCCATTCCTCAAAAAACTGACAAAAACATTTCCATCAGAATTTGTTTTTAAGAGTCACCTCAGGCACTGTATAATAATGGAAAATTGAGAATAGCCACAAGGCTGAATGTTTGGAGAAACCATATCCATGAAACTGATGTCTTAAACACAACATGCCTAGAAATGGTTGGTTTTGAAGGCCACTTGGAAAGGCAGTCTTATGCATGGCCATGAGCTGAGTCTGGGACACCCTGCAATATTGCCAACAGCCTATGTCTCTGGTGCAGCTGGCTGAGTTTTTCCCCCAGTAACAGAATGTTTCTTCTGGACTTATTTCGTGATTGCTGCCCTGCATCCCATGGTGAAGGACTCACATGAATTAAGAACTGAAAATATATAGGTGGACACCACTTTGAATTTAATGACTCAGGTGACAGATCACTTGAGAATTAGGCTGAGATGGTAACTGCTACCATTAAACCAGACTTTCGGAGGTAAGGATGATCCAGCATGTAAGTGCTGACCATAATGAAAAAAAAAAACAAAAGTAAAAAATTCTGTGACTGTTACATCTTTCAAAAGTCTGTGTGGTTTGCTTTGCCAGGTATCTGTGAAATAGAGCAGACACGTGATGACATCTTGGCAGCAAGCTTTGGTTTGGTCTGGGGAAAGGTGGAACTGGAATTTTGGCATCAGAGAAGCTTTTCTCTTATAGTGGAAGAGCTTGCTTTCTCCTCTTCAGCTCTTGGAACTTCAGGGGGGAGCAGATGACAGAGAGAGTGAGAAGGTTACAAACACTTCACCTGAGCTTCTCTTGCTGTGGAGTAACAGCAGGGGGAGTCTGGGCTTGATGTCTTATATATTTCTTATTTTTTTCAAAAGAAATTCAGCTTCAGGGGTGTCATCAGCTGGCTTAGTGATCACTTTTCAGTCATCTGACTTGTTACATTAGGATAAAATTAACTGCTCTTACAGCCATATCCTGCCATGGAGTTTCATGCAACAGTGCCATTGACTTCAATGGGAATTCGGTATATGAAACAATGACTGGAAATGCCTGTAGTATTGCACATAGTGACATTCTATCCCATAAAAAACCTCACAAAACAATAGCCAAAGGTCTTCCTAGGCAATAAAATTATGTCTAGTTTCTTTACTTTTCCCCCTCTCCCCCTTCCTGGGAAGCTTCCATAGCACGAGGTGTAAATTTTGGGGCTGTTAATTTCAGACATTCCTTTTCATTGAATGAGAAAAATCTTAAAAATATACCATGACTTACTCATTCTGCTGACAAAGTATCCAGTGAAGAAGCTTTTAATAAAAAAATGGACACAACTGACACTTGGTCTTTTACATTTTCTTCTTCTAAAAAAGGAAATTAAAGAGTTTTCTTTTACTAAAATTAAACAATGAGCCCTAACAACAGGAATAATACTGGCCTTGATCCAAAACTCCCTGAAGTTAATGAAGAAACTTACATTGTCTCCAGTGGGCTTTGGGTCAGACCAGTTTTGAACTAAAGACAAAACATTAGCTTTGTTAGAGAACTGTCCTTCATTTTCGTGAAAAACGATCCTTGTTTCCTTAGTATTTCACACCTGCTGTTCACATAGAGCACACTGTTTTGTCTGTTTAATATTCTTCGGGTGTGACACAATTAGAATAAACGAAACACCTGAATGTCCATGTGCAGTATGTGTGAATATTATCCTGGAGAAAAAAGAATAGCAAATTTAATGCTTCCTTAGAGGTTTCTTTGCTACATAAAGCTATAATTTTTCTTGCTTCAGGTAGGGGATTTTCCCCTCCCCAGTTAGGGGCAGGGATTTCCCTTTCAAAGATCTTGTAGGATGAAGAGGTGTCTCCCTTCAACTGCCCCTTTTTCTCCCACATAATCTGAAACCCAAGCCCATATTTGAGGAACCAAGGTTTGCTTAGTCATTTAAACTGTCCACCACAAATAGGATTCCTAAAAGTGATTTACTGCTCACAAATGTATCAGCAAAGTGCTTATTTACAGATACCAGATTTTTTTCATTAGTAAGCCCTGTTGTTTAGGAAAGGTTTTCACAATATTTGTTCCTTTTACAGTGAGTGTGGCACTGTGAGATGACAATTTCCTCCACATAAGCTGAGATCAAATTACCCCACCCAGATAAACCAACAGTAACTGTGACTCCAACAGCCAAAACAGCTTTTCTTCTCTAAGGGGAAAGCATCCATATTTTAAGTTTATATTGCATCCCATCAGATAATGTTAGACCTTATAATCTAGTGCAGTACTTACAATACCCATAAATCACTCAATCTGACATAAATGCAGAGAATATTCATTCTTTTCTTTGAGCAGGATGCAATCATGCACTAATACTGCCTTAAAACCAGTGAGGAGTCGTATCCAATAACTATCCCAATTATCTCTCAGCACAATGTTTTCCACCTGCAAGGAATGATTATGTGTCAGTAACGATGATAAAGTCCTTAAAGAGATGTTGATGCCTCATGGAAAAATTTGAAAGACATATTGTTTAGTGAGATTTCTGCTTATAGACTGCATCATATATATCTGAGGTATTTCTTTTCCCTATTTTTTATTACTAAGGACATATGCATAAAGAGATATTGTGTGTCAGGGAAATAATCATGATATAGCTAAAGTAAAAATTGGCAATCATGTGTGTTCTATTCTTGTTTTGACAGAGACTTCTCAATGACCTTGGGGAAGTTTAGTAACTGTTCTGTGCCCTACTGAAATGTGGAGACAATGCTCGTATGAGGTTGAGTATTAATTCATAACAAGATGTTCCATACTGTTGGATGGAATGTGCCAGGAAAGAGTTAGAACATGTTCTTACCGTTTATACCACAAGTTGTAGTTCTCTTCCTATTAAGCCTAAATGCAGAAATGAACCATCAGTCCATTACTGTTTTAGGTGCTGTAATAAAAGAAGTACTGAAAAAATTGCAATTTAAGTAGTAAAAATCAAGGAAAAAAGGGACAGAAAAGTGATATTGAGAGGAGACAATCTTTGATAAAAGTTAGAGATTTTTTTAGTATCAAAATATGGACAAGAATCTGTATTTCATGCCTTCTTTGTTACCTCTATATGGGCAGATAGAAATAGAGTTGTCCTAACCCCATTTAGGCTCCAACTTGCCAGAGCTGTTAGATCATAGCATTAGTTGGAGCCTGGTGCTATGTGAATGTGGCTGGGTGGCTTTTAGACAAGGAGCTATCAGAGGAGCTTTGGTCTGTCTGTGCCCTCTGTGTGAATAACTTTGGGTCTCACAGCAAAAAAATGTTTACTAAACCACATCCCATCTGGCTGTGGGAGGTGGTGAATTCTGCTTGCGTTGCAGAATTTAACTCTGATTTGCAGACCTCACTAACATTCACTCAAAATCTGCTTTCCTAGCAGCATCATTTTGAGTGTGTTTTAATGAGCTGTACCTCCTGCAAAACAAGTAAAGTACCAGAAACATAGTACTTTCAGTTCCCTCCCTCCCTTTTTTCCTCTCTTTCTTCTGGAAATCTTTGAAGAGACTCTAATCTTGTTATTGAAGGGTTTTCCAAACCATAGAATCCAAATTTCAGGATTCTCTTCACCTGTTTCTATCTTTAAGCAACATGAGTGTCTTTATACCAAATATCAATTTTCATGGTGACCAAATGCTAATATCCACAAACAAAATTTTCAGAAGTCAGACTTACAGACAAAAGTTTTAACCACCTGCAGCTCACAGTAACTTTAGCAGGATTTGCAATGACTGCTATTTCTATACAGAAAATCACCTCTGTGCAGAGATCTGTGTTTGAGTTTGGAGGACCCACTGTAGGCAGCCAAGGGGAAAGTCATGGTTCTTTGCAGGGTCCCTTCAGCTTGTTACCATGTGACTGACAGTCCGACAAGTGAACTACAAAGGTTTACATAACCACTTGAACTTTTAATTACACCCCTGTACTGAATTAGCTCCCATAATTTTTGAATTTATCTATCTCTTGTTTTAATTGACTGTGCTCCTTGATCTGGCTGTCATCACACAAAATGTATTGTTAAATGGTTTTAATAGCTTCCTGCATGTGCAGCAAGCAGTATCTAGCATATGTTAAGGGACACGTGTCAGTCATAATTGACTTACTCTTAAATTTCTTTGCTGTTGTGGGTTTAAATCAGATCCTTAATGATACTTGAAATCTTCTTTTGTGGTTACATTTTAGTGCTTTTTTACTAAACCTTCAAGAACAATGTCCTTTCCTGGCGGGTGATACATCGAAACCACAAGTGCCAGAGGGGAAAAAAACTGCTATTGAAATATGTGAAGATATGAATGCCAGACTGTTCACTTAACTTATACATTCAAAAATATCTACTTTGTCCTTCCGAGAGTGAAAGGGCTGCTTTGACATAATTGTGGTCTCTTATATGATGTTAATCCATAGTGTCAAAGCCATTATAATTCTAGTTCAGGTGTGCATATTTTAAAAAAGAATTCTAAGAAAAACTTATTTTACATACTCAGCCACTGACATTTTTATGTTAATGTTGGGTTTAATTTCTAAAAAAATTAGAAATATGGCACTATAGGGAACTATTGGATTTAGTAAATCTGCTGGCTATAAAATTCCTTTTCAAAGGAGTAAACTTCTTTATAATCCAACTCTAGTAAACTAGTTATTTTCCACAGGATGTTAGCATTCATGAAATGTATTGGATTTACAATTCTAGAACACATGATTGCTCAAAGAAAGCATTAGTGTAAACAATAAAAAGGTCTTCAGATTGCTCTGCTAATAAATATCTTGGCCTCAGTTTGCTGTAACTGTCTAGTTTCAATTTGCTCTTCGTGTCCACTATCTGCTTAAACTCTCAGATGAAATTAATTGTTCTTTTCGTTTTTTATAATCTTTATACCTGTTCATTAGGAGTTGTACGGAGTCATGATCAAATTTATGTTGTTCGTTCTTTTAGAGCAACCAAGAACAAGAATCTGATTTCATCCACAGACAAGACATTTCTTGTCTATTAACCTGTTAGGATTGCTTCAGCTTCAATGAGCAGAGAAACTGAAAGCATCTTTCCAACAAATGCCAGAGGAAGGAGGTCCTACATCAATCTGGGAAGGCATTCCAAAGTTTGCCCAAGTATTTTGTGTAAGAAATTATATGATAAAGTTTGCATTACTCAGAATTATATTATTGAAGGAAATCAGACAAGCTATTAAACTTTAAAAATGGGAAGGATGCTTTAATTTTGCATTAACTTGGTCAGAATCTGAAAGATGCGATACATTAACATCTGATTGCGTAAATCAACAAAAGTGAAGTATGCTTTGCCCTACATTTGAATCAGCCTCAGAAATAGGGTGGAACAGTTGCCAACATTATTTATGTTATATGTGTTGATATATACCAGAGAAGCTGCATGTGAGGCCCAGATGCACTAGGCAGTGCACAATCTAAATAAAAACAGGGACAACAGAAAGATGAAGTAAAAGAAGACAAGAAAGAAATGATGCTATATTGCTGTGAATTACAGTTTCAGCATACCAGCAAAATTTCTCCAGATCGTTTCGTAGGACAAAATAATTTTTTAGGATGAGCTGGTATGAGAGCGGACTTTCTGGGTGTTTATGAAAGCTCCTTCCAAACTTGAGGGGAAGCATTCCAAACCAAAGATGGCAATAAAGAGCCTTGAGAAGAATGAAGACATACCTTGTATTGCAGCAACAGAGAAGATGTTGCTGAAAAGATATATATTAAAAAAAAAATAGTATTTGGCTGAATCAGTTGTTTAGGATGGTCCATGTGTATAGACAAAAGATGATGTGTATAGAGAAGAGATCTTAGAAATGCTACATAGGAGCTATAGAACATAGTATTGGGTTATCTAAAGAAGGGTACGACATGGATCTTTTTTATGGTACACTAGAAAAAAAATTATTATATTTGGGATTAGAAAGAAGAATAGATATTGATATAAAGCTAAATACAGAGCACATTAAAAGATAGAAAAGGGAGGCTGTTCTGGCTTGAGTCAAGCAGGCTGCTGTGCTGGGTGGCTTTGCTCTCTGCTTTCACCTTCAGGAGTGATACACTCCTCTCTTCTTGCACATTAGATAGGAGCCTGGCTACACTTCAGGCCAGTCTTTCTTTTTAGGTCAGTTCTTTTTAGTTAAATACTTTGGTAGCAACAGGCCAAGTTGCTGAGAATTGGATCCAGTGCATATAGTATGTTTTGAGATTCCTAATGTAGAAAAAAATAAAAAAAACCCCAAACGCTCCCAAACTGAGTAGTATGATAACCTTAACTCTAAAATACCTGCATATTGTGGCCTTAGGCAAAGTGCGGAAATTTAGATTCCTCTATTTTTTATATGTCACATGTGACTTCAAATAAAATACACTTCATATGTATTTAAGATATTAGAATCATAAACTCACCATGAAGTGGCGAAGAGTTTCAGTACCTTTGAAATATAGTGAGTGACAGAATATAATCCAAATGCACATTTTACTCTGTGTGCTCTAATTGCTACTGTAAACTTATGGCATTAATGTATTGAGAACACTGTGTAGTGCATTTCCCATGCTATGTGTGGAATCATATAACTTATGCATGAAATTCTCATGTGTCTTCTGAAATCATAGAAGAAATTGTAAACCTATGATATATTTTAGTTTGAAGTGAAGCAGCACCTTTCAAAATCATGGGAAAACTGTGTGGTGACTTTTAGCTGACTCCCATTCTTATTTTTTTGAAATAAAGCAATATCACTAGTTCCTCAAGGAAGCTAACAATTCACTGTGTTGTAGAAAGAATGTCCTAAAGACTGAGATGTTTCTGTCTGCTCAAAACTTGTACCATAGAATTTATGCTACTGCAGAAAAGCTTGTGTTTATGATAGATTGAAAAGAAAACAAATTTCTGGTGTCCAAAAGTGCGCCTGTGACCTGGGATCTCACCTTAAATCCAGTCCATTATAAGTCAGCTTCAAAACATGGAACATATCTTAGATTTAGATTCAGTTGGGATTTCTGGAAATTCAGATCTTAGAACATGGTCCCACCTGTTCCATTTGCTAGTTCTATAGGCTAAGTCAATCTTCTGGAGAATATAACATTGGTTATCGCATAGGACAATACAGGGCCACTGCTTCCCTCAGAGATGCTATGTTCTTAAAAGATATAGATATATTTATTTTCTCAATGGTTCTTTTAACTGCAACATTTATAGTTCAAAAGAAGGTAGAGTGGGTTTTTCTAGGTAATAAAACAATTTAATCAGTGCATTTGTATGAGCATCATGTTTCTCAATCAATTAATCAGATGTAGGAAAAGATAAAAAGGAAAGCAATGATCAAAGAGAGGCCAGTATGGCCAAAGAGAGACAGTATGAATTGTGAGCTGTAAACTGGCATCACTAGGACCACTCGTCCCTGATTGTTTTATTTATTCATTGACTGCTTCTTTTATCAAATTTTCCAATGGCTTCTTCAGATTGAAGAGAAATTGACCATAGTTGTGCCTGTCATGCCTGTCTCAGAACTAGCTCACATCTGCAAGCTTTTCCTGCTTTATGCAGACTGAGTTAAATTACTTTTTTAATTGTATTTCAATGAGAACTTTTTTCTTTCAAGTCAGTGCTCAACAGTGATGGATGGAAGGATGTAGGAAACATTGGCTTTTCTCAGGATATACTGTAGATGACCTTATGTCCTATGTCCTTGCTTCATTTGAAAAGAATAATTACTAATCAATAGTGAAGGGTTAGGTGACGCAGTAGGTTAATTTACTAGCCTTTTGCCTCTGGAGAGCTGGATTCTTGCTTAGGTCACATGTAAAATGGGTTTGGTGGTTTCAGCCTTGTCTATTGTGGATGTCTGGCTATATCACAGAAAACAAGCTTGAATTTGATATGTGTTAGATGCCTGGCAGTTTCTGCTTGGGCAAATCTCAGGACTTGAACTGTAGGGATCCAAGCGTGGGCAGAACAGGCACACGCTGACATCTGCAAGAAAAAATGCAGCACAGCATCACAGTCTGCCTGACCACAGGGGACCGGGCCCTCCATCAAAGTCAGGGCCATTAGTCCCACTGGAGCCAGGTGCATCCAAACTTTTAAAGACCTGAGATTCTCTTTCTCTCTGTATCTGTTGGAGTCTTGCAGGGACTGCCTTTTGGGACATGCCTTTAGAAGACCATTCTCTCAGTTACCTTTTTCTCAAAATTAACCATCCAAGAAGCTGCTTTAAGTTTGTGCTTCAGAAAAGTTCATTACAAGAGTTTTATGAGTAGAAATACATTATCTGTTTATAAACTGGGAAAATAATATAGTTTCAGCCAATTAAAAAAATTATGACATCTCTTTGCTTAGCAGCTCCAGACCCTTTATTCTTTGAATGAGGGTACTGACATTTTGCAGGAGGCTGCTCTGGTGGTGAGGTCATATAAACCCTTATATGATTGTTAGTATCAAGCCTGAGTTAACCTTGATAGCCTGCTGAAACTTTATTTTGTTTTTAAAGTGTAACTTTGATCCCAGTCTTTAGCATAATTTGGATTTTTAATACTCATACTTGATCTGTCTGTGAAGTGTCTGACTTCACCATTGAGGAGGCAGAAGGGGAGCTGAGAGTAAGAGTCTGTTTTTTTGCTGTGCTCAGAGTGCTCCTCTTCTTTTAGTGATCTGTCCCATTGACTGCAGAAGGTGGAAGGGGAAAAGTGAACAAGGTTAGAAACTGCGGGCAGAGAAGAGACCTCTTGTTCAGCACTCACAGTTGCATCTAGACTTGAGCGGAACTATAATTTGAGTATATAAAGAACTGTAAAATACATGATGTATTGATGTTTCGTGTTGGGCACAGAAAACTAATGGACAATTTGGACAATTCTGGCCTTACTTTCCTTTTTTTTTTTCTACTATAAGATGGACTCTTAGTATGCATTCTTCCCTTCAGGACGTTGAAAAGATTGGTGCTTGAGAAGGATTTAGACATGACTGTAAGTAACCTAATGAGGAATTGGAAGGGATGAATAATTTTATAATCACTGCGGGTTTTAATAGTCATTAAGTAAGTTCAAATAACCAATGAGGAAGATGAAATGAAAATTTGAATAATCACCCATTTAGAGACTGTGCCAGGAAGTCCCATGGGGAGGAAAGTGTATGAACATGTGAGTAAAGACAATCATAATACATATACAGAAGAGGGAAAAAAAAGGTTGGATAGACAACTTTAATTCTGGCATTTCCAAATCCCTGTAAGAGTAAGTGTGGTGTCCTTTTACATAGCTTTTTTTTGTGTGTAGTAATGTAGGCATGATGCATAATAATTTTGACGTGACTGATGAGCTGCTGCTGTGCCCGTGTGTCTAGGCTGAATTGTCAATTGCCATCTGAAACTTCTCCTCACAGGAACAGGCTGGCTGTAGCATATAGTCAGTGATACTGCTATCACTCCCTATATCTACCCTGAAAGGCACCGGTGGAAGCTGTTTGTCTAGGCACAATGCCCTACTGGAACCTGTACACTGAATTAGTCATTCCATGGGAAAGAGGATGCAACATGGAAAATAATTTCTTAAAGAGCTAAATGCCTCAGGCTTTATGGAAATGTTTCAAAGGGACTTCCTTTGAAGGGGACTTCCTTGACACCATTTTGATTTGACCATACAGTTCATTTTTTCAGTTATGAAGACTTTTAAAAAAAAAAAAATAACACATTTCTAATTTGTGATATATACTTATTAGGTTTTCCATGTCATGCATTTTAATTGTGAGTTCTAACTGACTGGTTTAATGATACTTTGCAAAGTAAACTCAACATGTAGGTCATAAGTTCAGAATGAATGAATCCCTGGATGTTTACCAAACACCAAAATTAAATTACATTCTTAATTGTTTTGCAAATACTTTGGCCTAACTAATTAAATAGGAATGACTTTCTGTGTTGCTGTAGTGCAAGGAATATTAAAGTCTTTAGGACTTATTTCAAATTAGCAAACTCAACTACTTTCATTGTA